TGTGATTTCAAAGCTGAATTTTTAGCATCATTACTCAAGTCACATGATCCTTCAGAAATAATTCAAATATTCTGATTTGCTGCAAAAAACAAAACAAAACAAAAAAACATCTATCTTTGGCCAGCATCACTCACCACAGAGCAAGCCTGTTCTTGATAATCTGCTGTGAAAATGTGGGAAAAGCCGACGAGGAAGAAGTTGGAGTGAAGCGATCTTTATATAGGCGGAGCAAAATACTTCATCACTCCGTCTATAGCGCATTGTGATTGGATGGTTTACGCTGTCTGTACAGGAGACAATCCAATGGGCCACTGGCTGCTCGCTGTCCCTGCGTGATGGTCCTTGGCAAAAAAATTTTTTTTAATCTGTCGGCCCCTTAAGTGCGTCGGCCCACCGGGAAAATGCCCGGTATGCCCGATTACCAATCCAGCCCTGGTTGTTGTTGAAGTCCAGCCTCCAGCTCACAGCTGATTGGTCTGTTGTTGTTGATCATGTGAATCATGAAAACAAACTCAAGCTGTTCATTCAAACTAATGTGTCGGTCACTGAATCAGTGCATTAAAATGACTGTATTTGTTGACAACTAACTAATACTAACAGTTGAAATCAAGTTACAGTGAGTCACTCTCACTAGCTCAGCTTATTATGGTAAAGCTTTTAAGACAGATCAGCCTCTCCTCAGAGTATTTACTGACTCACCAAACCTCCCGCTCCTGTGACTTATGACTCCGCCGACTTATGAAATACACTTTTACCTATCAATGTACTCTCCTATATGTGCTCTTAACCCTTCACCTGCCCGTCCACTCCTGCTTTCCTCTGGTTCAGTGATGGGCTGCTGGTTTGGAGGTCAGTTCTCGTGACGGTGGCGTGTCACATGACCGTGTGAGCGTGCTTCACTGCAGCTGAACATGAGCGGTACAGTCAGCATCTCAGAACGGCGTGTTTATACTGGATTAATGCTAATTACTACAGTCCAAAGAGAAACAGTCAAAGCAGTTCAAGATGGGCAGGTCCTGAGGAAAACATGTCTGTAGAGCTGCACTGTGTCATTTCTGTGCCACTAGCAGCAGCAGCACCAAATGGAATTGAACACCACTCCTTAACAAACCACATGATTTGATATTTTATTTTTATTTTTATATATATTTATTTTTAAAAGTTTAATACTTAGGGTTAAGTAGTTAAGTTTTTTTTTAAATGTAATACTTTGGATTAGGGGTTTGTTTAACAACTTTATATTATATTGCAATTTTTTAATTATTTATTTTTGGAAGTTTAATACTTAGGGATGGGAGTTTGTTCAACAACTCTGTTATATTATAAATTCATATATTTTAATTAATTTATTTTTTGGACATTTTATGCTTAGGGTTAGAGGTTTGTTAATAATTTGTTATTATTTTATTATTTTAGATGCAAAGTCGGCAACACCAAAGCTCCAAAAGTATCAAAAAATTTAGCATAGCATATGTGACGTTTCGAGCACGCAGGCTCTTCATGAGACAAATGAACAACACTGATTATATTATATTATATTATATTATATTATAATATATTAATTTGATCTAATACAAAACTATTAAGCTTTGCTTTCTTGATCTATTACGGTAAATATTTTCTGCTTTTACTATCGGACAGAAGAATCATTGCTGTGATGTTTCTTTCTCTCCGCTGATTCGTTGCATCTCCCAGATCAGCTTTTTCCTTTCTAAAAAACTTTTTCCCTGGAGTGCCCTTGTCTTTATTCTCATATGAAAGGCTCTTTAGATTGAGAGGACATACAGTCACGCATCCGTCCCGCTGGGATTTATATGTTGCCGGGGGATGTTGTGACGTCTCCCTGTGACCGTCTGTCCTTCTCATTGGAAACACTTAAAGGAACAGTTCACCTAGAAATAGTTCTGGCATTATTTACCTATCGTCATGTTTCCAAACCCACGTGTGAAGAATGTCCATGCTGCTTCATGTCCATCCTTCAAGCTCAAAAACCAAAAAAAGTGCAATTATAAATAGTTATTATGAATTTTCTGAAGTCATGTGATGTTTTTTGTGACTGATAATATGGAATAGATTGAGGCTGATTTCTCTCTCGGTCTCTCTGTCTTGCTCCAGATGGTCACGCGTGGCTGTGAGACCACAGAGATGACCTTGCGCAGGAACGGTCTCGGTCAGCTCGGCTTCCACGTCAACTTCGAGGGCATCGTGGCTGACGTGGAGCCGTTCGGATACGCCTGGAAGGCTGGTTTACGTCAGGGCAGCCGGCTGGTGGAGATCTGTAAGGTGGCAGTGGCGACGCTGACCCACGAGCAGATGATCGACCTGCTGCGCACCTCCATCTCTGTCAAGGTGGTCATTATCCAGCCGTATGAGGACGGAGCTCCCAGAAGGTATCAGTGATCTGTTCTGTCCATCCTCCTATCCTTGTCTACACCTGCTATTAACATCCATCCCATTTAGCACTTTTTCCTGATAGTTGTTTTCCTTTAAAGCTAGATCTCTAAAACATATTATATTATATTATATTATATTATATTATATTAGATTAGATTAGATTAGATTAGATTTTTTTCATTATTGTGTATTAATTTATAGAAATGTAATACTTGGAGTTAGGGATATTATATTATTATTATTATTTTAAATTTTGTATTAATTCATAGAAATGTAATACTTTTATAATAATAATTAATAATTATTTTATTTTATTTTATTTTATTTTATTTTATTTTATTTTATTTTATTTTATTTTATTTTATTTTATTTTATTTTATTTTATTTTATTTTATTTTATTTTATTTTATTTTGTTTTGTTTTGTTTTGTTTTGTTTTGTTTTGTTTTGTTTTGTTTTGTTTTGTTTTGTTTTGTTTTGTTTTGTTTTGCCGTGATTGAAGATGTTAAATTTTCAGTATTAACTCATAGTTCCATATGAAATTCATTACTTTGGCTGAATAAATCACCCAAGATGGATGCTAATAGCAGGTTTTCTGCTGCTTTTTTTCAGCTTTACTCACATGATTTATTGTGTTGGATGGGATATGAAGTCTGAGTTTTGAGATCTCACTCTTATAAGCAGTCAAAACTCCACTCCACTTCTTGTTCTCAAGTCGCTCCATTATCCAGTGTTGTTAGCATGATGCCGCTCTGGAGCTGATTTGCTGTGAATGGACGGTTTGCACCGGGAAGCTCTGTAAGTGATTGTAGTGGATCAGTGGGAACAGAAGGAGAGCGCTGGCGTTCCCGAGCAGACGGCCGCTTGTGTACCGACAGCAGTGGCGTAATGCGGCTGACAGATCTGGCCAGTTGGGCCGAGGCCTGACGCTCACTGCGGTCTTCTTTCACCCAGCGATAGCGGCAGGAGGTGTTTGATTATTGAAGAAACGTCTGACGACTCGCAGAGCAGCAGATTGTGCTTTTAGGGTTCGTCTGCTCGTCCCTCCAGTAAAAACAGAACAGATCCACCTGCACAATCACTTACCATCAACCACCCATCCATATTTCAAAACAGAGTGTTTAAAGCTTTTTAAAGTAAATCTCATGAAAACTTTTGAGAAATTACTGTGTATTTATCTATCTATCTATCTATAATTTAAGTATTATTTTTGCTATATATTTATATATTTCATTATTACATATATTCTGAATAATAATAATTTATTTCATTAGAATTATTATTTATATACATTTATTATTATTATTATTATTATTATTATTATTATTACAACAGACAATATGTACTGTATATACATTATATAAATGTTATTTATTTCTTCATGCTTAGAATCTTACTGTTCCACTTAGTGTAATATTTGATCAGATTTCCTAAAGAAATTATCATATTAATTTGGCTTTTCACACATAAAAAAAACTGACTGGTTAATTCGTTTGCTCTTTCTGTTAGTTCTTTAACTGAGGCTGATTAGGTTAAGCAAACAAATTTAACCATGTTCTGAGCTGTTCACTCAGTTAGCTCACAAACATGCCTGATGGACAGACCGGTGTAAATCTAGAGATTTATTCTGTCGTCCCTATATTTGAGCCTTTAATATTGGCGTATTATAGTCACATCACATCCAAGCATCCCTCTGTCAATCCAACAATCCAGCAAATCCTCTTACAGTGATCTGTGATCATACGTGATCATCTGTCATCATACATGACGCAGCAGAAGCTTAGAGCGTCTCAGTATTATGATTACTGACCATCAAGGTTTCTGGATGTTCAAGAAGTTTGTCATTTTAACCAATTAAAAATTATCTATGAGTAGCTCTCAATTGACCTATAAACCATAATGGATAACTGTATTTTTACATTTTCTGAGTGAGTAAAACTCACTGCTACAATGTTTCAGTGCGGTCAGGTGGTTGTCAGGGTGTTGCTGTGTGGTTGCTAAGGTTCTGAGTGATTTTAGAATGTTGATGTGTGGTTTCTAGGTTGTTCCGAGTGGTTGCTAGGTGATGACCTGTTATTTTTTTTCTGTATGGTCTGCTGATAGCAATGTGGGATGCCAACATTAGCAATTATAATCCTGGCAACAGATCATCATCCTGTGCATCAGAGATGTCAGGAGAGTAAAAGTGTGGAGTGATTTTAACTAGTATTTTTTTAAAAGAACAATTCACCCAAAATATACTTGCCCTCAGGTCATCCAATATGTAGATGAGTTTGTTTCTTCATCAGATTTGGAGAAATGAAGCACTGCATCACTTGCTCACCAATGGATGCTCTGCAGTGAATGGGTGCCGTCAGAATGAGAGTCCAAACAGCTGATAAAAACATCACAATAATCCACAAGTAATCCACACCACTCCAGTCCATCAGTTAATGTCTAGTGAAGAGAAAAGCTGCGTGTTTGAAATAAACAAATCCATCATTAAGGCATTTTTAACTTCAAACCGTTGTTTCTGGCTAAAATATGAGTCCATAATCCATAATAACGCTTCCTCCAGTGAAAAAGTCTTCTTGTCTGAATCAGGAGAAATCTGCACAGATCAAGCACCGATTACAAGCCAAAACAGCTCTAAACAAATATGTTGGGTGGATTTTGATGTAAGAGACTTTTTCACTGGAGGAAGCGTTATTATGGATTATGGACTCATATTTTGGCCAAGAGTGATGGTTTGAAGTTAAAATCATCTAATGATGTATTTGTTTCTTTCAAACACGCAGCTTTTGTCTTCTCCAGACGTTAAATGATGTACTGGAGTGGATTACTTGTGGATTATTGTGATGTTTTTATCAGCTGTTTGGACTCTCATTCTGACGGCACCCATTCACTGCAGAGCATCCATTGCTGAGCAAGTGATGCAATGCTACATTTCTCCAAATCTGATGAAGAAACAAACTCATCCTAATCTTGGATGGCCTGATGGTGAGTAAATGTTCAGCAAATAGTAATTTTTGGGTGAACTATTCCTTTAAATGTGTGTTTGGGTTCATGCCATTGGGAGACAAAAATGTGCATTAAAACAAAGAATAACTGTAGCACATTTGCTTTTTAAAACACAAGGTCATGGGTTTGATTCCCAGGGAATGCAAGAACTGATTAAATGCATACTGTGCCTTCAATGCAATGCCCGTCACTTTGAATAAAAGCATCTGGCAAATGCATCACTGTAAAAGTAATTGTAAGTGACGCAGTTAAACAACCACAGAATATTTCTAGAATTGCCTGAACTCCAGATTTCATCACAGCGTCCGGCATGTATGAACTTTACACCCAGATAAAAATGAACTTTAAGGAAAGACTCACAGTATAAACGGCCAGATTCTCATATACAGCCCGAGTCTCATGTTTCAGGTCAGACGTCGAGGAGCAGAGCCCGGTAACATTACAAACACTCCCTGATTAGTCTGAAAACCAAATATTTACCCGCTGTTTACATTTTCAATCCATAAGGGAGTAATTTTAAGTGTAGACACATCTGAAATGTTTCTCTTTTTCTCTCATTAGTGGGATATATGGGCGGCATGTTTAAAGATTCATATAGAAATGATGGAGAAGCTTGAGGACAGCAGGGTTACGGCCACATCCTGCTGCTCTAGTGTAAAGAAATAGATTTTCTGGGTTAGGCTAATATTAGAGGCGTATTTCACCAGCTCAGATGGGATTCTGCACAACCAGAAAAAGACGTCTATGAGCTCTTTAAAATAAGAGAGGATGTAAAACAGGGTGTTTGATGGGAAAAGTCCCATTTTTTTTGTCTGAGGGAGGCTTGATTTCCCACCCATACAAAGAAGTACTGTGATGTTACACTGATGGTATCAGATGGTGCTTAGATATTCATTTACTTGAAGATACTTTAATTTGAAGATCTTATGTAAAAATGTAGTTTTATTTTTTTATATATACACTACCATCAAAAATATAACATACATTTTTTTTTATGTTTTTGAAAGAAGTCTCTTCTGCTCACCAAGGCTGCATTTATTTGATCAAAAATGCAGTAAAAACTGTAAAATTGTGAAATATTATTACAATTCAAAATAGCTGTATTCGATTTGAATATATTGTAAAATGTAATTTATTTCTGTGATCAAAGCTGAATTTTCAGCATCATTACTCCAGTCTTCAGTGTCACATGATCCTTCAGAAATCATTCTAATATGCTGATTTGCTGCTCAAGAAACATTTCTGATTATTATCAATGTTGAAAACAGTTGTGCTGCTTCATTTTTTGTGGAAACTGTGATGCATTTTAATTTTCAGGACTACGATCAATAGAAAGTTCAAAAGAACAGCATTTATTTGAAATAGAATCTTTTGTATCGTTATAAATGCCTTTACTGTCACTTTTGATCAATTTAATGCATCTTTGCTGAATAAATGATTTATTTATTAAAAAAAAAATCTTACTGACCCCAAATTTTGAATGCATATAATCATAAATTTATATATTTATATTTAAATTTTAGATTTTTTTTACTATATACTTAATTATTATTGCATATATTTTATATTATTTTACAAATTTATATAGTTTTGATTCCAAATATAATAGTTATAATAAAGTTATAATAATATAAAAATAGTTATAATAAAATATTTTGTTATTATTATTCAATAAAATTATAGTAGATATATATATATATATATCTTTATTAGATATTATTAGATAAAATTATTAAGATATTATTAAAAAATCTATTATTTTTATATTATTTTAGTTAATTTGATAAAATGTATAAATACTTTAATTTGAATATCTAATGCAGTTTTTGCAGGATCAGGAAATGTTGCATGCTATATTTGACCTTGTGTTGCCCGTATAGCTCCTTTATCCATATGGTGTTTCACAAGCTATATAATGTCAATCAGTACTGATCATTATTGCATTTTGCAGGCTCATTAGTATCTTACCTTTATATCCCACACTCGTGTTTTCCATTATGCCGGCAGTAGTGTGAGAGGACTGACTCAGTCGTGCAGATCTTGGCGAGCGGCAGTGGAAAACATCGCTCTATAAATCTGAGCCTGTGAATGTGAGCATCCCGTATATCTCTGATGAAAACTGGCCCTCAAAGTTTGCTTAACATGCTTTTTCTTGGATAAAAACGCTAAAGTTAGGAATAACTCTTATGTTTTTACTCGGTTGGACATGTGAGATCAAGTGTGTTTCTAAAACAACATACTGAATCTGTAAGAGCTTCCACCTAAATGCAGTTGGGTTCGTGTTTCTCGGCACATTCACACGCTGTAGATTATTCTCCATATGTCAGCGCAGGTCAGAGGTTCCAGGTTTTGATGTGGAAAATGTGAAAGTTTTGTTCTGTGTGGGAGTTGAAGTAAATAGTAGAAGTAAAACATAAACGTGTGGAAAAATACACACATTAGCGTGCTCTTTAAACTGCCTTTGGCTTATGCTGTGAATTGTTTAACATAAGTTTTGGATATTATTCAGCTTTTAATGGGGAAACAGACATAAAGAAACTGATTGACCAGTTTATTCTGAAAACACTCAATATCTCATATGCTCGGGTCGCCAAAGTTGCAGTTCAGTAGTTTACGTTTCTTTTCAACTGGTTCTCATTATGTTGCGTCTGTGAGTGATGTACTGTAAATGCATTTATGCTGACTGACTTTTCAAACACATGAGCCAATGCTGTTAGCTGTGGCTAATGTTTCAACAGCACGTCTGGATGCATTTGCATGTGCATTTTGCTTGATTTCTGCTCATTGATAAACACTTACAGGTGCATCTCAATAAATTAGAATGTCGTGGAAAAGTTCATTTATTTTAGTAATTCAACTAAAATTGTGAAACTCGTGTTATATTATAAAAATGAAAATTATATATGTGACATTAAAGCAGTGTTAGTATCATTGAGATACTATTATAGTTTTTAGTAATATTTAGATTTCGTTTTTTTATTTTTATGTCTTTTGTTTTCATTTTCATTTTAAAATGTTGTAATTTTGTTGTATGTTTTTGTCATTTTTATTAGTTTTTTTTTTTTACTTGCCTATATAGTTTTTATTTTTAAATGATTTCAGTTTTTGTTGTAATTATTTTAATTAAACTAGATGAAAATGAGAAATGGTGCCTTGGCAACTAACTGAAAAAAAAAAAGAAGTCATTTTTATTTTATTTTATTTCAGTTAAAGGTTATATATTTCGAGTAACAAAGTTTTTTATGGTTTTATTTTTAGTTTTAGTGATAGTTAACTAATAACAACACGTGTTTTATATTAGTTAACTTTAATTTAGTTTAACTTAAATCTTATATATATATAATTGTTGTTTTTTTTGTTTTTTTTCATTCTTTTCTTATTTTGCATTTTTTTGGAGATCAAAAACCTCATTCCCCATTGCAAAATATCTTGTTAGTTTTTCATAGAAGAGAGTCATACAGAATCTGAACGACATGAGGTTGAGTAAATGATAACAGACTTTTCATTTATTCCTCATCTTTTTCTTTAATGTATTCCAGCAGGATTTCTCAGTCAAAAAATTCCCTTTCGAGGATGCTTTGCATTGCTGTTGCTCATGCCAAGAGATCCTGCCAGAAAGTGTAGCGTAGCGTCTAGTGTTCTCTGGCCTCGTGAGGACGCAGAGGTCAGTGATAACCAGAGGGCAATGGGGAAGTAGCTGATGAATGCAGCTCAATTTAAAACACATTTCAGCTGATGCAGAGATCACATTGTCTGATTTTTGGGGCTGTCTACTGCATCTAATTGATACGAGCCTGTGGGCTGCTTATGCAAATGGAAAGGAGAATGTTAACCCTTCACCTCAAGAGCTTCATGCAGACAATAGCTCCAGAGTTGAATTGCAAAAGGTTTTTTTTCGTTTCGTAGAGCAGACTGTTTTCATAACCCTCGGGCTCTTTTCTTTCAACCCAAAAACACACCTCAAACAGCTTCTCCATTTCTGTGTGTCTTCTAGTTCCCTTCTAGCACTCATATCCACCTTATTTTTAAATTAAGAGCAGGAGTAACTTGAATAAGCGAGGCTTCCAGTGTCATTCACTTCTTGGTTTTTAAACCTGTACAGAACAGGTAAATATAGGTGTATATATATACACTGTACAGCAAATCTCAACTGCTTGATTGCTTGTATTGTCACAAAATGTAAACCATATTATCTCCCATCTCTAATCTGCTAAATGCGACTATAAGGCAAGATATTAAGATATTATAAACATTGACATGAAGCAATGTGAAGCAATGTGCGCTACACAAATAAATTTCACTTGCATATGGTTCCGTTTTTAAAGCTCAGGTGCTGGTTGCATAAACTGCTCAGACTAGTCTGTTTTTTTTTTTCTGCAAGACTGGTCATAACTTTATCATAACATAATAAGTAAGTTAAATAAAAAGGTAGATTGGTCTAATTCAAATCTGAAAAGTAAGACTTAAAAACTGCTAGTTGGTCAAACTAGTTCTTAAGACACAGTCTTAACATAGAGGCTGTTTATGCAGCTGGCCCCAGGACTGGTAACCAGATGATAACTAGTTCAGTTCCCGCAAGGAGTGAATCATGAGTTCTCAACATTGTGCACTTGAGCAAGACACTTGTTTGAAGTGACTGAAACATTTTTTGTAACCTATTTTATGCATTTAAAAGTGAAAAAAATATTCAACAAGAAGAAGTGTAGATTTGATGCATCATAAATGGATTGCATGTTGAAAAGTCTCTGCATATGACAGGTGGTTGGAGGGTTTGAAATATAAGATGGATCGATGATGTTAGCTGAAAAAGAAAGGTGAAAAACATTGGCTCAATTTACTTTATACTATATTTACTTTATAATTTACTTTAGAATAGTTTTTAAAAAAAATGAAAAATTGCTGAAAATATACTCACCCTCAGGTCATCCAAGATTAGGATGAGTTTGTTTCTTCATCAGATTTGGAGAAATTTAGTATCATGAGTCCTCTATCCATAATAATGTTTCTTCCAGTGATAAAGTGGTCTGGTCTGAATCAGGAGAGAAATCTGCACAGATCAAGCACCGTTTACAAGCCAAAACAGCTCTAAACAAATATGTGGCTGGATTTTGATGTGAGAGACAACAGGAGATGGACTTTTTCACTAGAGGAAGTGTTATTATGGATTATGGACTTGTATTTTAGCTGGAAGCAACAGTTTGAAGTTAAAAACATCTTAATGACAGATTTGTTTCTTACAAACACAGGTCTTGGTTCACAAGATGTTAGTTGATGGACTGGAGTGGTGTGGATTACTTGTGGATTAGTGTAATGTTGTTATCAGTGCGTGTTATTCCAAAAAAAACAAAGCATCTTCTAAATGTCCGTTGACGTTTTTTCTGCTCTCTGTGTCTCTCAGGGGATGTTCAGAGCTCTACCGCATCCCTATGGTGGAGTATAAGTTGGACAGTGAAGGAACGCCCTGCGAGTACAAGACGCCCTTCAAGAGACACACCACCTGGCACCGTGTGCCCACCAGCGGCCAGCCTCTTCCCGATCGCATGCCGTGCCAGCAGGTCCTCCAGCACGCTCAGACCGCCATCCCACGCAGCACCTCTTTCGACAGGAAGCTGCCGGATGGACCCAGGTATCTCTTCAGTTTCAGATGCATGCTTTTGCGTGTCTTTCCAAAGGCGTTTTTCTAAATATCAGTGGATGAGTGTAACTGTGAATCCATCGCCTTCCTGAATGAAGCAGATACATTCAGATTTCATGAACGAGGCAGAACTCGGGGTGTTAGAATGCTCGAAAAATACAGCAGGATGAAAGAAGTGTGAGAGGATCAAGCGTTTCACACAGAAACCTTTTGTTGTGTATTTTCTGACATTTGATGTCTAGGGCTCTATGATTTCAAAAAGCATACAAATTGCAGAAAGCATACTGAACAATGTATTACAATGAATGCACGTTACACTCCGTACTAATGAGTAAAGTGACACGTTACCTTTTGATTTTACATTAATACCCCGTTACATTCTCAAGGTTTGATGGACCTAAATTTTTATCTTATCGTTCGTTTTTCTGGTTTTACTAATAATATCATCTTTCCTACTTGATCCACAATGCAAAAAAGTTTTCAATTAGTCTTTTTGCCTTGCTTTCCAGTAAAAATATTTTGAAACAAAATCAATTTGCTTGATTAGCAGATATTGAGACTTGTTTTGATATACAGTATATCATGTCTTTAATATGAGTGTATTTTGTCTTACTGCAATGGCAGATTTGGTCACTTGATTTACGTATGATTTTGTTAAAAACAAGTTTTAAAAAATCTGTCAGTGCAGTAAGACAAAATACACATATATTCAAGATACAGTCTATGAAAACAAATCTTAAAATTGCATGCCATATTGCTTAAGTATATTTATTTCATTTTTAGATATTTTAATTGAAAAACAAAACAAAAATACTCATTAAGAATATATTTGCAGTGCAAAAACCTGATTCACATAAAGGGAAAATAGGTTCAATATGTGAAAATTTTGTTTCTTCATCAGATTTGGAGAAATGTAGCACTGCATCACTGTCTCATGCTCTGCAGTGAATGAGTGCCGTCAGAATGAGAGTCCAAACAGTGTCTGAAACAGTGAAAATGTCTGAATCAGGAGAGAAATCAGCACAGATCAAGCACCGTTTACAAGCAAAAACAGCTCTAAACAAATATGTTGGGTGGATTTTGATGTGAGAGACAACAGGAGATGGACTTTTTCACTGGAGGAAGCGTTATTATGGATTATGGACTCATATTTTACCCAGAAACGATGGTTTGAAGTTAAACCGTCTTAATGATGGATTTGTTTCTTACGAACACGCAAACCGATAAACTGGAGTGATGTGGATTATTGTGATATTTTTATCAGCGATTCACATGTGCACATAAAAAAAAAAATATATAT